AAAATACATTTCATACATGAAAACATATAAAAAGTAATAGAAACCATTTTGTTCATACATGAAACATCACAAGAGTCACAAAGAATAAAATCTTTCACGCATTATCTTCTGATATTCATATCAATTTGGTTTTCCTATCATCTGGAATACAAAAAAAAACTGGATAATTCCAATTAATGTAAAATTTTTAAGTGTGTAACACTTTTCAAAATTGTGTATTGTGAATAGCGAAGCGAATTGTACCGAAGCAAAGGCTTCGGCGAAACGCTAATTCCCCTTTTTCGGTATAAAAGAGGGGGCGAAGGCCATTTGGCCTTCACCCACGTTTTCATTTCGAACTTTCAATTTCAAGTTTCCCGCCCCCCCACCCTAGCATGAGATGCATGGTAGCTCTATATGTTGTACAATGCTTGGACGATAAAATCTTGTACTTGCCAGTTGAAATGAGACGTTGCATTTGCAAGGCAAATCGCAAGTGTTCACAATTAAATTTTAAATGGGTTGTGTGACAGGGCTAGAAAGTCGATTTGTGGTGGCATTAGACTCACAAGGGTGCCCATGGCTATAAAAAGTGGTTCGCAACTGCTGCGAGTGCCGAAATTGAGTGGCGATGTCGCTCTGGCATATTCTGCCCAAAGTGTTCGAGGAGCTGCCGGGGGGCAAAAGGGGCGGTTGCAGGGGTTTGAGGCGGGTGGTGTGAGGGGCGAGGAAGCCAATTTGGGGTGGCATTAGCCTAAAGTGTCAGAATATTATGCTCTAGCCTGCAGTGGGGTGCTCTATAGCGAGTACAACCCTTCTAGGGTTAGCTATTTGTACCACCATTGTTGCTAGTGCAAACCTCTCCTTTCTTCATTCTCTCTTGCCTAGCTAGGTCAACCCTAGCTATGGCTCCTCATCGTACTTACTATCTCGACATGCTATCAGAGCAGGACGATCCAGTTGGGTCGATCCTGTGGGTGGGCCCCACCACCTCAGTCTTCCGCTGCTCCTACTACTGTTTGTGTCGCACGCCCCGTGGCGTGCGACGGATTTTTCATCCCGCCGCGCGCTCGGGGCGTGCGGCGGTTTTCTCCCCGCCGTGCGCCCCGGACGCGCGGCGGTTTCCTGTCCGCCGTGCGCCCCGAGGCGCGCGGCGGTTTCCTACCGTGGGGGACCCCCGAGTGCCCCGATTTCCCGTCGCGCTGCCCTGGGAGCCGCGCGCGACCCCCGCTGCTCCGATTTCCCGTCGCGCCGCCCTGGGGAGCCGCGCGCGACCCCCCGCTGCCCCGTCGACGGTCGCGACGCCATGGGAGCCGCGCGCGGGCCCCCGATTTTCCGTCGCGCCGCCCTGGGGAACTGCGCGCGACCCCCCTGCCCCTTCGCGGCGCCCTAAGAGCCGCGCGCGCGGCCCCTCGCTGCCCCGTGGTGGCGTCCTGGGGGCCGCGCGCCGTCCCCCTCGCCGTCCCCCGTGCTCTTCCCCGTTCCGCCCGTTTTAGGGTTTGGGGGTGAGGAGTGTGGGGGTGGCGGCTATGGGGGTGTCGGTTGTGAGTTACTCCCCCTGCTCCTCCTCCTCCCTCGTCTCCCTCTGCTACAGCTGCCGCTGAGGGGGGTGGTGTGTGGGAGCCTAGGGTTTGGGGTTTAAGGGGGGGTACCGTGGGAGTGGAGCTAGGGTTTGAAGCAGGGGGTGTGTGTCGAGGGGTGTGGGACTGTTGGGGGAGGTTGAGCGGAGGTTGCCGTCGTGTCGTACGCAGCGCCTGTACTCCGGGGCACTCATTCCCGGTAGCTCAGAGAGCCGGTTGCGCCGTCGCCTGTGGGTCCGTTGCTCCTGCCGCGCGTATTAGCCGCGGAGCCTGTTACTCCTGTACTCCGGGGCACTCATTCCCGGTAGCCACTGTGTCGCACCAGAGCCGTCTGTTGCCCGTGTGTCTGCAGCTTCAGTCGTCGCCTCTTAATCTACTCTCCTCTCGCCAGCCCTCCTCCTCCTCACTTGCCCTCTGTGACTGCCTCTAGCTTTGCTCATAATTGTGAACTTTAAACTATTGCTTCTTGAACTTGTGCTCAGAATGTGTGGTGACATCGTGATCCACCCTGAGCTTGTACTGCTTTGCTTGCTCTGCTGATTACACCCCACTTTGGCTATGGGGGTGTGTCAGAATATTATGCTCTAGCCTGCAGTGGGGTGCTCTATAGCGAGTACAACCCTTCTAGGGTTAGCTATTTGTACCACCATTGTTGCTAGTGCAAACCTCTCCTTTGCTTCATTCTCTCTTGCCTAGCTAGGTCAACCCTAGCTATGGCTCCTCATCGTACTTACTATCTCGACATAAAGAAGGTGCCCAGTGCTTGAAAAATTGGCTTGCGACTGTTTCGAATGCCGAGATTCAGTGGCGGTGCTGCTCTGGCGGATTCTGGCCAGAGCGTCCGGAGAGCTGCCAAGGGGGGAAAATGGGCAGTTGCAGAGAGTTGTGATGGGCCAGGAAGTAGATTTGGGATGGAATTAGAATAAAAAAGGTGCGCAGGCCTCATAATTCAATTTTCAACTGTTGCGAATGCCGAAATTGAGTGGCGGTGCTGCTCTGGCAGATTCTGGCCAGAGTGTCCGGAGAGCTTCTAGGGGGAAAAAAATGGGCAGTTGCAGAGGGTTGTGAGGGGCCAGGAAGTAGATTGGGATGGCGTTAGAATAAAAAGGTGCACAGGGCCTCATATATTAATTTCTAACTGTTGCGGATGCTGAAATTGAGTGGCGGTGCTGCTCTGGCAGATTCTGGCCAGAGTGTCCGGAGAGCTGCCAGGGGGGAAAAAATGGGCAGTTGCAGAGAGTTGTGAGGGGCCAGGAAGTAAACTTGGGATGGCATTAGAATAAAAAAGGTGCGCAGGGCCTCAAAAAGTGGTTTGCAACTGTTGCGAATGCCGAATTTGAGTGGCGGTGCTGCTCTGGCAGATTCTGGCCAGAGTGTTCAAGGAGCTGCCGGGGGGCAAACGGTGCAGTTGCAGGGGGTTGTGAGGGTCCAGGAAGTCGATTTAGGATGGCATTAGCCTAACAGAGGTGCACAGGGCTTCAAAAAGTGGATTGCAACTGTTGCGAATGCCGATATTGAGTGGCGGTGCTGCTCTGGTAGATTCTGGCCAGAGTGTTCGGGAAGCTGCCGGGGGGCAAAAGGGCCGGTTGCAGGGGGTTTTAAGGAGCCTGGAAGTCGATTTGCAGTGGCATTAGCTTAAAGAAGTTGCCTAGGGCTTGAAAAAGGAACTTGCAACTGTTGCGAGTGCCGGAATTGGGTGGCGGTGCTGCTCTGGCAGATTCTGGCCAGAGTGTTCGGGGAGTTGCCGGGGGGCAAACCGTGGAGTTGCAGTGGGTTTTGAGGGGCCAAGAAGTCAATCTCGGATGGAATTTGCCTAAAAGAGGTGCTCAGGGCTTCAAAAAGTGGCGTGCAACAATTCCAAATGCCGAAATTGAGTGGCGGTGCTGCTCTGGCAGATTCTGGCCAAAGTGTTCGGGGAGCTCCAGTGGGGGGCAAAAGGGGCAGCTGCAGTGGGTTTTCAGGGGCTAGAAAGTCGATTTGGGGTGGCAATAGACTAATAAAGGTGCCCAGGGCTTCGAAGAATGGTTTGCAACTGTTGCAAGAGCCAGAATGCCCTAGCGGTGCTTACCAGTGCGCTCTGTAGGTTTGGCCAGGGAGTTCGAGGAACTCCCGGAGGTAAAAAAGGGGCAGTTGCAGTGGGTTATGACATGCTTGAAAGTCAATTTGGGGTAGAATTGGATTAATTAAGGAGCCCAGGGCTTTGACAAATGGTTTGCAACTGTTGCGAGAAACAATTTGCCCTGGTGGTTCTTACTAGTGCGCTCTGGCAGATTCTGGCCAGGGTGTTCGTAGAGCTCCTCGGGGGAAAAAGAGGCAGTTGCAGTGTGTTGTGAGGGGCTCGAAATCCGAATTGGGGTGGCATTAGACTAATGAAGGCGCCCAGGGCTTTGAAAAATTGTTTGCATTTGTTGCGAGAGCCAAAATGCACTGGCGATGCTTACGAGTGCGCTCTGGCAGATTCTGGCCAGGGTTTTGGGGGAGCGTCCGGAGGGCAGGAGAAGCCTTTTCAGTGGGTTGTGAGGAGCTAGAAAGTCGATTTGGGGTGGCATTATGCTAATATAGGACTATATAATGATTTGGGGTGGCATTAGACTAGTAAAGGTGTCCATGTTGTTACAAACTGGTCTGGTGCTTTTGCGAGAGCCCAAGTGCCTTGGTGGTGCTGCTCGGTGTGCTCTGGCACATGCTAATCAGGACGTTCAGGGAAGTTTCCGAGGGCCAAAAGGGGCAGTTACGTAGGTTCTGAAAGCCCAAAAAGTGGTCTGGTGCTTTTGAGAGAGTCAAGATTCCCCGTTGGTTCTCCCCGATGCGCTCTGGCAGATTCTAGCCAAGGTGTCGCAGTCTACTAGAGTCGCTACTTCTGCAATGTCCTATTGGGTCAACTCAGAAATCACCTACCTGTCATCCCCATTGCTACGCTTTGCGTGATTCACCTTCTTAGCATTTGCACCAGCGAGACTGCCTGGTTGCTGTTTGCTTGTGTAGACATGGTGCTCCCACCGCAGCTTCCTCTCGCTGGTGTAACCTGCATCACTGTTAAGAAATTTTAGAAGCGACACTGGCAAATGCTTGTTGCATCTCTTCTTTTTCTCCCACCCCCCCAAGTCTCGACGCCCATCCGAGACCTCATATACCTCTCTCACAATCGCAGGCCCTTCTCCGAAGTGCTTGTCCCTCTACCCTGCTCTCTCTCCCTGTATTCTCTGATAGCATCCCAGAAACTTATCTGCATCCCCCACTTCCTCCCATCCCCCTAACTTTTGGGAGAACTTACAAACTCCACAGGTTCTAATCTTGTTCCCAAAATCCATTGCCTTTTCCTCAGCCATCACCCTTCCCGCCCATGTCCCCTAACTCAAAGCACTCTCCCTCTCTCACAACTTCTTTATTAACACGCCCCTTGACTGCAGGTAGTTCTGCCATCTGGTAGTGCTTCTTTGCCTAAGAGGGATGCTCCAACTGCCAGGGGTTGATTGCACCCAAGAAGCTCGGGTTACGGTTGGCGGATGCTTCCGCACCTGGTGCTCTTCATGAGGCTTATGTGCGGCGCACTGCTGCTGCTGCTGCTGCTGCTGCTGCTGCTGATGCTGATGCTGCTGCTGCTGCTGCTGCTGCTGCTGCTGCTCTGCTGCGCTGCTGCTGAGAGCGCTCGCGCGAGCTCTCTCTGCTCTCTCTCTCGAGCTCTCTCTATCTCTCTCTCTCTCTCTCTCTCTCTCTCTCTCTCTCTCTCTCTCTCTCTCTCTCTCTCTCTCTCTCTCTCTCTCTCTCTCTCTCTCTCTCTCTCTCTCTCTCTCTCTCTCTCTCTCTCTCTCTCTCTCTCTCTCTCTCTCTCTCTCTCTCTCTCTCTCTCTCTCTACCGCAGCTGGTTCTCGTGGATGGTCTCCTGCAAGAAGCACTGCTGCTACAGTTAGCACAGAACCACTCTAGTGCCTTCTTTCTACACACCGAGGCTTACAACAGAGCTTCCGTGTAAACCGTTGTTTGTGTCTGATAACGGTTGTACATTTCGTTACCCTAGCTATCCACAAAAGGAAGTCACAGGTTAGAACTCTTGCTTTGTCAAAATTGAACCAAAATATGTGATGAAGAGACATTACAAAGGCACCATTTCTAGCCTACTATTCTACTACCTAGTTTACTTGAGCGTCAGCATGCGTGTGTGGTGCCCCTGTAATGTTCCCCCACCACCCCAATAATCATCATTGTTCTGGTTCGACGAATCACAGCTTCCCACCAATCATTTTTCCTGAGAGTGACCCGTCAGCCCCGGAAAATCCGAGGTAAAGGTCATCATTGGTGACCACTTGGAGTGATGCGAGCACATCCGCCACGTCAGCAGCCGACACCTTCACGACATTGGCCAGCGACCAAGACACAGGGCTCATGGGCTGCCATGTGCCAGGGAGGGTGAGGACTGCTGAAGCAGCATTGCTGCAGGGGCTGCCCTTGAAGATGGCCTGAGATTCTGGAGCCTTGGTGACTCCAGCTGCGTAGAGGTAGTATGTGACCAGGTAGTCCGAGCCACTGCATTGTGGGTTGAGGGGAGGTTGATGGGGTGAGAGGGAAAATAACACACGTTTAACATTCAAGCAGCAAAGGGCAAAAGAAGCCAGCAGTAGTCAATAGCAGTCAACGTGAGTCAACAGGGGTTAATAGGGGTCACTTACATCTTGAGGATCTGAAGATCGCCAGCACCGGCCTGGAGAGACTGCAGGCCATTGCATGAAGTCAGCACGCTACGCAGCATGCCAGCCTGCTGGGGCAGAAGATTCGTGAGGCCAGACACCACGCTGCTGTCGCCAGCCGCGTTCAAACTGGCGCTCACAGCGCTGTTCAGAGCACCGCTCAGGCCGTTCACCATCCCAGCGAGCGCAGACGCGTTCGCGTTGAGACCCGCTACTTTCTGCGTCACTGCCGCCAGCCGCTGCCTCAGCGCCGCTCGGATCGCAGTGCTCTGCCTCAAGGAAGCAGCACCGGATGCAATCGACGCTCGCGCCGAGCCTACTCCCGAGCCTATGCCTGAGCCGATAATCCCAGCTAGTTCCTTGTTCAGAGCAGCTATGCTGGTGCTAATCGAGGAGATGTTGGATTGAACGCCTGAGATCTGAGAAACCAGATCCTTAGTAACGGTCAGATTGGTCCCTGAGATGTTCAACGCGTTCAAACTGACGAGGCTCGCATTCAAAGCACCGAGGTTGGCTTTTAGCGCGGTTATCTGTGCCTGGAGCGCGGCGCTTGCAGCTGGCGCGGAGCTGCTAACTGTTGCCAAGAATTTCTCGAGCGGTGTTCCTAGAAGCTCGTCTAGAGACGCAATCTGGTCGTTCACGGATGTCTGGAGGTCGGAGAGCGTTGAACCGAGGGTTGCTGCGAGGCTGCTGCTACTGGCTGCTGCGCCTGCCACCGCGACAGCTGAGTCTAAGCTGCTTGGCAGTCGGTTGACGGCGCTGGGAAGAAATCGACTTGCATCGGCTTGTGTTGCCAAAAGCACTGCAAATGAAGAAAAAACAGAGAGTGAGCGTTTTTTTTTGTCAGTTTTCAATTAAACTACTAAGCTGCAAGATGTGATTCAGTTGCTTGGCGTATCAAGATAAGACTTCCGCAGCTACTACTAACGACGGCACAGTTATGGCAAGTGTTCTCACCTGTGAAGAGCAGTGCAACAAACGTGGAAGGTGCTGAAGTGCCGTGTGCCATTTGACGGTTGGGAGCTACGGCGCGAACAAACGAAGAACTGTCAGTGAGGCGCTACTGGAGAGAAGGAATCGAGCAGGCGTTTTTTCCAATGCTACGAAATTATAGGCGCAGACGAGGGAAAGCGAGTATCTTAGTACCTAGCAGTAGGTATGAGCATGCGACTAGTAGTAGTAGTTGTGAGTGGGTGTGAGTTGTTCAGAGAGTTGCTCTGGATATATGTGTTCGTGAGGGGATGGATTGAGCGCAAAGGTTTGTGAGGTGGGGTGGGGTTGAGAGAGTTGGGGTTTGGGGAGGTTGCCGCACGAACCTGCTGGCCCGGTTTGAAATTTTGTGAATTTCACCGCGGACCGCGGATTTCGTGCGCCTGATTGGCTTATTTGCTGCCGACGAGCCGCACGCGAGGGTGACTGAGAGCGGTGATGAAGCACGCTTGGGGGCTGCCGCAGATGACGGAACGGGTTGTGCGGGGCGGTGCTGTGCTTGCGTGGCGACGGTGCTGAATGGGGTGGGGAGGGAACGGCGGGTGCACACAGGCGCAGGCATCAGCAAAAACGACAAGTGAATCGCGTTGACCGCAAACCTCGCTGAAAGGCGCAAGGTTAGAACACAGGAAATGGAAACAGAAAATACATTTCATACATGAAAACATATAAAAAGTAATAGAAACCATTTTGTTCATACATGAAACATCACAAGAGTCACAAAGAATAAAATCTTTCACGCATTATCTTCTGATATTCATATCAATTTGGTTTTCCTATCATCTGGAATACAACAAAAAAACTGGATAATTCCAATTAATGTAAAATTTTTAAGTGTGTAACACTTTTCAAAATTGTGTATTGTGAATAGCGAAGCGAATTGTACCGAAGCAAAGGCTTCGGCGAAACGCTAATTCCCCTCTTTTTCGGTATAAAAGAGGGGGCGAAGGCCATTTGGCCTTCACCCACGTTTTCATTTCGAACTTTCAATTTCAAGTTTCCCGCCCCCCCACCCTAGCATGAGATGCATGGTAGCTCTATATGTTGTACAATGCTTGGACGATAAAATCTTGTACTTGCCAGTTGAAATGAGACGTTGCATTTGCAAGGCAAATCGCAAGTGTTCACAATTAAATTTTAAATGGGTTGTGACGGGCTAGAAAGTCGATTTGTGGTGGCATTAGACTCACAAGGGTGCCCATGGCTATAAAAAGTGGTTCGCAACTGCTGCGAGTGCCGAAATTGAGTGGCGATGTCGCTCTGGCATATTCTGCCCAAAGTGTTCGAGGAGCTGCCGGGGGGCAAAAGGGGCGGTTGCAGGGGGGGTGTGAGGGGCGAGGAAGCCAATTTGGGGTGGCATTAGCCTAAAGTGTCAGAATATTATGCTCTAGCCTGCAGTGGGGTGCTCTATAGCGAGTACAACCCTTCTAGGGTTAGCTATTTGTACCACCATTGTTGCTAGTGCAAACCTCTCCTTTCTTCATTCTCTCTTGCCTAGCTAGGTCAACCCTAGCTATGGCTCCTCATCGTACTTACTATCTCGACATGCTATCAGAGCAGGACGATCCAGTTGGGTCGATCCTGTGGGTGGGCCCCACCACCTCAGTCTTCCGCTGCTCCTACTACTGTTTGTGTCGCACGCCCCGTGGCGTGCGACGGATTTTTCATCCCGCCGCGCGCTCGGGGCGTGCGGCGGTTTTCTCCCCGCCGTGCGCCCCGGACGCGCGGCGGTTTCCTGTCCGCCGTGCGCCCCGAGGCGCGCGGCGGTTTCCTACCGTGGGGGACCCCCGAGTGCCCCCGATTTCCCGTCGCGCTGCCCTGGGGAGCCGCGCGCGACCCCCCGCTGCCCCGATTTCCCGTCGCGCCGCCCTGGGGAGCCGCGCGCGACCCCCCGCTGCCCCGTCGACGGTCGCGACGCCATGGGGAGCCGCGCGCGGCCCCCGATTTCCCGTCGCGCCGCCCTGGGGAACTGCGCGCGACCCCCCGCTGCCCCTTCGCGGCGCCCTAAGGAGCCGCGCGCGGCCCCTCGCTGCCCCGTGGTGGCGTCCTGGGGGCCGCGCGCCGTCCCCCTCGCCGTCCCCCGTGCTCCTTCCCCCGTTCCGCCCGTTTTAGGGTTTGGGGGTGAGGAGTGTGGGGGTGTGGGGGGCGGCTATGGGGGTGTCGGTTGTGAGTTACTCCCCCTGCTCCTCCTCCTCCCTCGTCTCCCTCTGCTACAGCTGCCGCTGAGGGGGGTGGTGTGTGGGAGCCTAGGGTTTGGGGTTTAAGGGGGGTACCGTGGGAGTGGAGCTAGGGTTTGAAGCAGGGGGTGTGTGTCGAGGGGTGTGGGACTGTTGGGGGAGGTTGAGCGGAGGTTGCCGTCGTGTCGTACGCAGCGCCTGTACTCCGGGGCACTCATTCCCGGTAGCTCAGAGAGCCGGTTGCGCCGTCGCCTGTGGGTCCGTTGCTCCTGCCGCGCGTATTAGCCGCGGAGCCTGTTACTCCTGTACTCCGGGGCACTCATTCCCGGTAGCCACTGTGTCGCACCAGAGCCGTCTGTTGCCCGTGTGTCTGCAGCTTCAGTCGTCGCCTCTTAATCTACTCTCCTCTCGCCAGCCCTCCTCCTCCTCACTTGCCCTCTGTGACTGCCTCTAGCTTTGCTCATAATTGTGAACTTTAAACTATTGCTTCTTGAACTTGTGCTCAGAATGTGTGGTGACATCGTGATCCACCCTGAGCTTGTACTGCTTTGCTTGCTCTGCTGATTACACCCCACTTTGGCTATGGGGGTGTGTCAGAATATTATGCTCTAGCCTGCAGTGGGGTGCTCTATAGCGAGTACAACCCTTCTAGGGTTAGCTATTTGTACCACCATTGTTGCTAGTGCAAACCTCTCCTTTGCTTCATTCTCTCTTGCCTAGCTAGGTCAACCCTAGCTATGGCTCCTCATCGTACTTACTATCTCGACATAAAGAAGGTGCCCAGTGCTTGAAAAATTGGCTTGCGACTGTTTCGAATGCCGAGATTGAGTGGCGGTGCTGCTCTGGCAGATTCTGGCCAGAGCGTCCGGAGAGCTGCCAAGGGGGGAAAATGGGCAGTTGCAGAGAGTTGTGATGGGCCAGGAAGTAGATTTGGGATGGAATTAGAATAAAAAAGGTGCGCAGGGCCTCATAATTCAATTTTCAACTGTTGCGAATGCCGAAATTGAGTGGCGGTGCTGCTCTGGCAGATTCTGGCCAGAGTGTCCGGAGAGCTTCTAGGGGGAAAAAATGGGCAGTTGCAGAGGGTTGTGAGGGGCCAGGAAGTAGATTGGGATGGCGTTAGAATAACAAAGGTGCACAGGGCCTCATATATTAATTTCTAACTGTTGCGGATGCTGAAATTGAGTGGCGGTGCTGCTCTGGCAGATTCTGGCCAGAGTGTCCGGAGAGCTGCCAGGGGGGAAAAAATGGGCAGTTGCAGAGAGTTGTGAGGGGCCAGGAAGTAAACTTGGGATGGCATTAGAATAAAAAAGGTGCGCAGGGCCTCAAAAAGTGGTTTGCAACTGTTGCGAATGCCGAATTTGAGTGGCGGTGCTGCTCTGGCAGATTCTGGCCAGAGTGTTCAAGGAGCTGCCGGGGGGCAAACGGTGCAGTTGCAGGGGGTTGTGAGGGTCCAGGAAGTCGATTTAGGATGGCATTAGCCTAACAGAGGTGCACAGGGCTTCAAAAAGTGGATTGCAACTGTTGCGAATGCCGATATTGAGTGGCGGTGCTGCTCTGGTAGATTCTGGCCAGAGTGTTCGGGAAGCTGCCGGGGGGCAAAAGGGCCGGTTGCAGGGGGTTTTAAGGAGCCTGGAAGTCGATTTGCAGTGGCATTAGCTTAAAGAAGTTGCCCAGGGCTTGAAAAAGGAACTTGCAACTGTTGCGAGTGCCGGAATTGGGTGGCGGTGCTGCTCTGGCAGATTCTGGCCAGAGTGTTCGGGGAGTTGCCGGGGGGCAAACCGTGGAGTTGCAGTGGGTTTTGAGGGGCCAAGAAGTCAATCTCGGATGGAATTTGCCTAAAAGAGGTGCTCAGGGCTTCAAAAAGTGGCGTGCAACAATTCCAAATGCCGAAATTGAGTGGCGGTGCTGCTCTGGCAGATTCTGGCCAAAGTGTTCGGGGAGCTCCAGTGGGGGGCAAAAGGGGCAGCTGCAGTGGGTTTTCAGGGGCTAGAAAGTCGATTTGGGGTGGCAATAGACTAATAAAGGTGCCCAGGGCTTCGAAGAATGGTTTGCAACTGTTGCAAGAGCCAGAATGCCCTAGCGGTGCTTACCAGTGCGCTCTGTAGGTTTGGCCAGGGAGTTCGAGGAACTCCCGGAGGTAAAAAAGGGGCAGTTGCAGTGGGTTATGACATGCTTGAAAGTCAATTTGGGGTAGAATTGGATTAATTAAGGAGCCCAGGGCTTTGACAAATGGTTTGCAACTGTTGCGAGAAACAATTTGCCCTGGTGGTTCTTACTAGTGCGCTCTGGCAGATTCTGGCCAGGGTGTTCGTAGAGCTCCTCGGGGGAAAAAGAGGCAGTTGCAGTGTGTTGTGAGGGGCTCGAAATCCGAATTGGGGTGGCATTAGACTAATGAAGGCGCCCAGGGCTTTGAAAAATTGTTTGCATTTGTTGCGAGAGCCAAAATGCACTGGCGATGCTTACGAGTGCGCTCTGGCAGATTCTGGCCAGGGTTTTGGGGGAGCGTCCGGAGGGCAGGAGAAGCCTTTTCAGTGGGTTGTGAGGAGCTAGAAAGTCGATTTGGGGTGGCATTATGCTAATATAGGACTATATAATGATTTGGGGTGGCATTAGACTAGTAAAGGTGTCCATGTTGTTACAAACTGGTCTGGTGCTTTTGCGAGAGCCCAAGTGCCTTGGTGGTGCTGCTCGGTGTGCTCTGGCACATGCTAATCAGGACGTTCAGGGAAGTTTCCGAGGGCCAAAAGGGGCAGTTACGTAGGTTCTGAAAGCCCAAAAAGTGGTCTGGTGCTTTTGAGAGAGTCAAGATTCCCCGTTGGTTCTCCCCGATGCGCTCTGGCAGATTCTAGCCAAGGTGTCGCAGTCTACTAGAGTCGCTACTTCTGCAATGTCCTATTGGGTCAACTCAGAAATCACCTACCTGTCATCCCCATTGCTACGCTTTGCGTGATTCACCTTCTTAGCATTTGCACCAGCGAGACTGCCTGGTTGCTGTTTGCTTGTGTAGACATGGTGCTCCCACCGCAGCTTCCTCTCGCTGGTGTAACCTGCATCACTGTTAAGAAATTTTAGAAGCGACACTGGCAAATGCTTGTTGCATCTCTTCTTTTTCTCCCACCCCCCCAAGTCTCGACGCCCATCCGAGACCTCATATACCTCTCTCACAATCGCAGGCCCTTCTCCGAAGTGCTTGTCCCTCTACCCTGCTCTCTCTCCCTGTATTCTCTGATAGCATCCCAGAAACTTATCTGCATCCCCCACTTCCTCCCATCCCCCTAACTTTTGGGAGAACTTACAAACTCCACAGGTTCTAATCTTGTTCCCAAAATCCATTGCCTTTTCCTCAGCCATCACCCTTCCCGCCCATGTCCCCTAACTCAAAGCACTCTCCCTCTCTCACAACTTCTTATTAACACGCCCCTTGACTGCAGGTAGTTCTGCCATCTGGTAGTGCTTCTTTGCCTAAGAGGGATGCTCCAACTGCCAGGGGTTGATTGCACCCAAGAAGCTCGGGTTACGGTTGGCGGATGCTTCCGCACCTGGTGCTCTTCATGAGGCTTATGTGCGGCGCACTGCTGCTGCTGCTGCTGCTGCTGCTGCTGCTGCTGCTGTTGCTGCTGCTGTTGCTGCTGCTGCTGCTCTCTCTCTCTCTCTCTCTCTCTCTCTCTCTCTCTCTCTCTCTCTCTCTCTCTCTCTCTCTCTCTCTCTCTCTCTCTCTCTCTCTATCTCTCTCTCTCTCTCTCTCTCTCTCTCTCTCTCTCTCTCCCCTACCGCAGCTGGTTCTCGTGGATGGTCTCCTGCAAGAAGCACTGCTGCTACAGTTAGCACAGAACCACTCTAGTGCCTTCTTTCTACACGCCGAGGCTTACAACAGAGCTTCCGTGTAAACCGTTGTTTGTGTCTGATAACGGTTGTACATTTCGTTACCCTAGCTATCCACAAAAGGAAGTCACAGGTTAGAACTCTTGCTTTGTCAAAATTGAACCAAAATATGTGATGAAGAGACATTACAAAGGCACCATTTCTAGCCTACTATTCTACTACCTAGTTTACTTGAGCGTCAGCATGCGTGTGTGGTGCCCCTGTAATGTTCCCCCACCACCCCAATAATCATCATTGTTCTGGTTCGACGAATCACAGCTTCCCACCAATCATTTTTCCTGAGAGTGACCCGTCAGCCCCGGAAAATCCGAGGTAAAGGTCATCATTGGTGACCACTTGGAGTGATGCGAGCACATCCGCCACGTCAGCAGCCGACACCTTCACGACATTGGCCAGCGACCAAGACACAGGGCTCATGGGCTGCCATGTGCCAGGGAGGGTGAGGACTGCTGAAGCAGCATTGCTGCAGGGGCTGCCCTTGAAGATGGCCTGAGATTCTGGAGCCTTGGTGACTCCAGCTGCGTAGAGGTAGTATGTGACCAGGTAGTCCGAGCCACTGCATTGTGGGTTGAGGGGAGGTTGATGGGGTGAGAGGGAAAATAACACACGTTTAACATTCAAGCAGCAAAGGGCAAAAGAAGCCAGCAGTAGTCAATAGCAGTCAACGTGAGTCAACAGGGGTTAATAGGGGTCACTTACATCTTGAGGATCTGAAGATCGGCAGCACCGGCCTGGAGAGACTGCAGGCCATTGCATGAAGTCAGCACGCTACGCAGCATGCCAGCCTGCTGGGGCAGAAGATTCGTGAGGCCCGACACCACGCTGCTGTCGCCAGCCGCGTTCAAACCGGCGCTCACAGCGCTGTTCAGAGCACCGCTCAGGCCGTTCACCATCCCAGCGAGCGCAGACGCGTTCGCGTTGAGACCCGCTACTTTCTGCGTCACTGCCGCCAGCCGCTGCCTCAGCGCCGCTCGGATCGCAGTGCTCTGCCTCAAGGAAGCAGCACCGGATGCAATCGACGCTCGCGCCGAGCCTACTCCCGAGCCTATGCCTGAGCCGATAATCCCAGCTAGTTCCTTGTTCAGAGCAGCTATGCTGGTGCTAATCGAGGAGATGTTGGATTGAACGCCTGAGATCTGAGAAACCAGATCCTTAGTAACGGTCAGATTGGTCCCTGAGATGTTCAACGCGTTCAAACTGACGAGGCTCGCATTCAAAGCACCGAGGTTGGCTTTTAGCGCGGTTATCTGTGCCTGGAGCGCGGCGCTTGCAGCTGGCGCGGAGCTGCTAACTGTTGCCAAGAATTTCTCGAGCGGTTTTCCTAGAAGCTCGTCTAGAGATGCAATCTGGTCGTTCAGGGATGTCTGGAGGTCGGAGAGCGTTGAACCGAGGGTTGCTGCGAGGCTGCTGCTACTGGCTGCTGCGCCTGCCGCCGCGACAGCTGAGTCTAAGCTGCTTGGCAGTCGGTTGACGGCGCTGGGAAGAAATCGACTTGCATCGGCTTGTTGTGTTGCCAAAAGCACTGCAAATGAAGAAAAAACAGAGAGTGAGCGTTTTTTTTTGTCAGTTTTCAATCAAACTAAGCTGCAAGATGTGATTCAGTTGCTTGGCGTGTCAAGCTAAGACTTCCGCAGCTACTACTAACGACGGCACAGTTATGGCAAGTGCTCTCACCTGTGAAGAGCAGTGCAACAAACGTGGAAGGTGCTGAAGTGCCGTGTGCCATTTGACGGTTGGGAGCTACGACGCGAACAAACGAAGAACTGTCAATGAGGCGCTACTGGAGAGAAGGAATCGAGCAGGCGTTTTTTCCAATGCCACGAAATTATAGGCGCAGACGAGGGAAAGCGAGTATCTTAGTACCTAGCACTAGGTATGAGCATGCGACTAGTAGTAGTAGTACTAGTAGTTGTGAGTGGGTGTGAGTTGTTCAGAGAGTTGCTCTGGATATATGTGTTGAGGGGATGGATTGAGCGCAAAGGTTTGTGAGGTGGGGTGGGGTTGAGAGAGTTGGGGTTTGGGGAGGTTGCCGCACGAACCTGCTGGCCCGGTTTGAAATTTTGTGAATTTCACCGCGGACCGCGGATTTCGTGCGCCTGATTGGCTTATTTTCTGCCGACGAGCCGCACGCGAGGGTGACTGAGAGCGGTGATGAAGCACGCTTGGGGGCTGCCGCAGATGACGGAACGGGTTGTGCGGGGCGGTGCTGTGCTTGCGTGGCGACGGTGCTGAATGGGGTGGGGAGGGAACGGCGGGTGCACACAGGCGCAGGCATCAGCAAAAACGACAAGTGAATCGCGTTGACCGCAAACCTCGCTGAAAGGCGCAAGGTTAGAACACAGGAAATGGAAACAGAAAATACATTTCATACATGAAAACATATAAAAAGTAATAGAAACCATTTTGTTCATACATGAAACATCACAAGAGTAACAAAGAATAAAATCTTTCACGCATTATCTTCTGATATTCATATCAATTTGGTTTTCCTATCATCTGGAATACAACAAAAAAAACTGGATAATTCCAATTAATGTAAAATTTTTAAGTGTGTAACACTTTTCAAAATTGTGTATTGTGAATAGCGAAGCGAATTGTACCGAAGCAAAGGCTTCGGCGAAACGCTAATTCCCCTCTTTTTCGGTATAAAAGAGGGGGCGAAGGCCATTTGGCCTTCACCCACGTTTTCATTTCGAACTTTCAATTTCAAGTTTCCCGCCCCCCCACCCTAGCATGAGATGCATGGTAGCTCTATATGTTGTACAATGCTTGGACGATAAAATCTTGTACTTGCCAGTTGAAATGAGACGTTGCATTTGCAAGGCAAATCGCAAGTGTTCACAATTAAATTTTAAATGGGTTGTGACGGGCTAGAAAGTCGATTTGTGGTGGCATTAGACTCACAAGGGTGCCCATGGCTATAAAAAGTGGTTCGCAACTGCTGCGAGTGCCGAAATTGAGTGGCGATGTCGCTCTGGCATATTCTGCCCAAAGTGTTCGAGGAGCTGCCGGGGGGCAAAAGGGGCGGTTTGCAGGGGGGTGTGAGGGGCGAGGAAGCCAATTTGGGGTGGCATTAGCCTAAAGTGTCAGAATATTATGCTCTAGCCTGCAGTGGGGTGCTCTATAGCGAGTACAACCCTTCTAGGGTTAGCTATTTGTACCACCATTGTTGCTAGTGCAAACCTCTCCTTTCTTCATTCTCTCTTGCCTAGCTAGGTCAACCCTAGCTATGGCTCCTCATCGTACTTACTATCTCGACATGCTATCAGAGCAGGACGATCCAGTTGGGTCGATCCTGTGGGTGGGCCCCACCACCTCAGTCTTCCGCTGCTCCTACTACTGTTTGTGTCGCACGCCCCGTGGCGTGCGACGGATTTTTCATCCCGCCGCGCGCTCGGGGCGTGCGGCGGTTTTCTCCCCGCCGTGCGCCCCGGACGCGCGGCGGTTTCCTGTCCGCCGTGCGCCCCGAGGCGCGCGGCGGTTTCCTACCGTGGGGGACCCCCGAGTGCCCCCGATTTCCCGTCGCGCTGCCCTGGGGAGCCGCGCGCGACCCCCCGCTGCCCCGATTTCCCGTCGCGCCGCCCTGGGGAGCCGCGCGCGACCCCCCGCTGCCCCGTCGACGGTCGCGACGCCATGGGGAGCCGCGCGCGGCCCCCGATTTCCCGTCGCGCCGCCCTGGGGAACTGCGCGCGACCCCCCGCTGCCCCTTCGCGGCGCCCTAAGGAGCCGCGCGCGGCCCCTCGCTGCCCCGTGGTGGCGTCCTGGGGGCCGCGCGCCGTCCCCCTCGCCGTCCCCCGTGCTCCTTCCCCCGTTCCGCCCGTTTTAGGGTTTGGGGGTGAGGAGTGTGGGGGTGGCGGCTATGGGGGTGTCGGTTGTGAGTTACTCCCCCTGCTCCTCCTCCTCCCTCGTCTCCCTCTGCTACAGCTGCCGTTGAGGGGGGTGGTGTGTGGGAGCCTAGGGTTTGGGGTTTAAGGGGGGTACCGTGGGAGTGGAGCTAGGGTTTGAAGCAGGGGGTGTGTGTCGAGGGGTGTGGGACTGTTGGGGGAGGTTGAGCGGAGGTTGCCGTCGTGTCGTACGCAGCGCCTGTACTCCGGGGCACTCATTCCCGGTAGCTCAGAGAGCCGGTTGCGCCGTCGCCTGTGGGTCCGTTGCTCCTGCCGCGCGTATTAGCCGCGGAGCCTGTTACTCCTGTACTCCGGGGCACTCATTCCCGGTAGCCACTGTGTCGCACCAGAGCCGTCTGTTGCCCGTGTGTCTGCAGCTTCAGTCGTCGCCTCTTAATCTACTCTCCTCTCGCCAGCCCTCCTCCTCCTCACTTGCCCTCTGTGACTGCCTCTAGCTTTGCTCATAATTGTGAACTTTAAACTATTGCTTCTTGAACTTGTGCTCAGAATGTGTGGTGACATCGTGATCCACCCTGAGCTTGTACTGCTTTGCTTGCTCTGCTGATTACACCCCACTTTGGCTATGGGGGTGTGTCAGAATATTATGCTCTAGCCTGCAGTGGGGTGCTCTATAGCGAGTACAACCCTTCTAGGGTTAGCTATTTGTACCACCATTGTTGCTAGTGCAAACCTCTCCTTTGCTTCATTCTCTCTTGCCTAGCTAGGTCAACCCTAGCTATGGCTCCTCATCGTACTTACTATCTCGACATAAAGAAGGTGCCCAGTGCTTGAAAAATTGGCTTGCGACTGTTTCGAATGCCGAGATTGAGTGGCGGAGCTGCTCTGGCGGATTCTGGCCAGAGCGTCCGGAGAGCTGCCAAGGGGGGAAAATGGGCAGTTGCAGAGAGTTGTGATGGGCCAGGAAGTAGATTTGGGATGGAATTAGAATAAAAAAGGTGCGCAGGGCCTCATAATTCAATTTTCAACTGTTGCGAATGCCGAAATTGAGTGGCGGTGCTGCTCTGGCAGATTCTGGCCAGAGTGTCCGGAGAGCTTCTAGGGGGAAAAAATGGGCAGTTGCAGAGGGTTGTGAGGGGCCAGGAAGTAGATTGGGATGGCGTTAGAATAACAAAGGTGCACAGGGCCTCATATATTAATTTCTAACTGTTGCGGATGCTGAAATTGAGTGGCGGTGCTGCTCTGGCAGATTCTGGCCAGAGTGTCCGGAGAGCTGCCAGGGGGGAAAAAATGGGCAGTTGCAGAGAGTTGTGAGGGGCCAGGAAGTAAACTTGGGATGGCATTAGAATAAAAAAGGTGCGCAGGGCCTCAAAAAGTGGTTTGCAACTGTTGCGAATGCCGAATTTGAGTGGCGGTGCTGCTCTGGCAGATTCTGGCCAGAGTGTTCAAGGAGCTGCCGGGGGGCAAACGGTGCAGTTGCAGGGGGTTGTGAGGGTCCAGGAAGTCGATTTAGGATGGCATTAGCCTAACAGAGGTGCACAGGGCTTCAAAAAGTGGATTGCAACTGTTGCGAATGCCGATATTGAGTGGCGGTGCTGCTCTGGTAGATTCTGGCCAGAGTGTTCGGGAAGCTGCCGGGGGGCAAAAGGGCTGGTTGCAGGGGGTTTTAAGGAGCCTGGAAGTCGATTTGCAGTGGCATTAGCTTAAAGAAGTTGCCCAGGGCTTGAAAAAGGAACTTGCAACTGTTGCGAGTGCCGGAATTGGGTGGCGGTGCTGCTCTGGCAGATTCTGGCCAGAGTGTTCGGGGAGTTGCCGGGGGGCAAACCGTGGAGTTGCAGTGGGTTTTGAGGGGCCAAGAAGTCAATCTCGGATGGAATTTGCCTAAAAGAGGTGCTCAGGGCTTCAAAAAGTGGCGTGCAACAATTCCAAATGCCGAAATTGAGTGGCGGTGCTGCTCTGGCAGATTCTGGCCAAAGTGTTCGGGGAGCTCCAGTGGGGGGCAAAAGGGGCAGCTGCAGTGGGTTTTCAGGGGCTAGAAAGTCGATTTGGGG